CACACACACACACACACACACACACACACACACACACACACACACACGGCTGGACACATGCATGAACAGGCACACATGCATGAACAGGCACACATGCTAACAGACACAGACGGAGGTATAGGAGTATGCACACACTCCCCTTGTGTATCCATGGTAGTTACAATCAGCCACACAATGACTGTGACAGTTGGTGACTTATGCAAATCAGAATGCAAATCACCAGTCGTAGAATTTGTATATAGTGATTGCACTAACGGCTAGATAAGGGGTGTAGTGTAGTTAAACAATAAAAATGCTTCCTGTTGAACTCATTCAGGTTTAATTGACCTGTGTGTGTATTTGTCCTGTGTGTTCCTGTCTGAAGTTGCTGTGAAGGATGACCGTGTATTGTGTAAGGTACACAGTCAGTCACGCAAGACTACAGTGTTTCGTGACTCTGAACTGGACATGTCACATCCTGTATCTGAGACACAAACACACACAAGGCGCACACTGTGCATGTTAGGTAATCAGAGTATTTTGGTGTGTAAGCAATGTTGTAACCCTGAGAAATACACACATCAGTCGTTTTACCATGTATTTTGTTCCTATGAATAAGTGAGCCCAGTTTGTGTTCCTTATATCTTTTTCCTATAACTTCCAAATTATATTCATTTTTCATTGTTTACTCAGAGTGTATCATGCCACACAAGTTGACAGCTCACTACGATAGCTGTGTTGCCTTAATGTTTTTCTTATTTTTATTTTGCTTTATCCATAAGCTAGTAATGTAAAGGATAATATTAGCTTACTTATAACAGCTCAGTTACTACAGATGCTCGCTCTTAGCATTGTGAAAGCCTTTGGTAATGTGTGAGTGTATGCTTGGCGGAAAGAAGAAAGGACCTAATGGTACTTTTACATCCCATTTCCAAATGGCAGAATAGTTTATATACAGTATATCTTTACTTCTTACCTAAAATAATAATCGTGGCACTTTTAAAAGAACACTTTCTATGAAAGATCTACTGAAAATAGTACTTTTCCCAACACATATATATTTATTCTTATTCAAACACAATTCCAGGTGCATAAAGCAGCATTCGCAAAGAACCATAATTGAAAAGTGAGATCTGAATTAATCGCTAAAATGTGAACAATACCCAATCCCTGCTGTGAGCAGGGACACCCGCTGCTGCTCTGAATGAACCCAGATTGCCTGGCCATTAGAAGAAAATAGGTTTTTATCTCAGTGTGCATAAAACGACTTCCTACAAGGCACAGTGTGCATCTGTGAGTGTGTTTGAAAGAAGAGTTACTCTGGGTAATGGGCCTGGAGACATTGAGAGGAGTTGCCAAGGGCCAGAGCCTGGACCTCTAAGGATAGAGAAAGTGAGCGAATTAGAGGTAGAAGGCATGCTTGTTGGAATAAAAGGAGAAATAATAGCAGGGAAATGAGTTTCTCTACTACTTACATATCCCTCGCTCCAACCTCCTCTGGCTCACTACCCACCCTTTCCTCTCCAGATTATTAGTAGAAGGATGGTAGATTTGTAAAATAAGTGCTATTCTCATTGGAATATAAAATTACCTAATAGTCTCTTCTTGCCTCATTTCTTTACAACATAGCTGTAGGATGTTCTGCATGGATCGCAAAGAGTGAAAAAAACACTGTCGATCGATCATAACATGATTCAGTTTTAGTTATTTTCTTACCATATAAGGATAAGTGTATATATGCCACCCTCTCTACATCTTCCTGTTCCTGCTTCTTGGTTCTCATCAGTGAAATCCTGCTGCTAGACTGTGTTTCTGTCAATACATAATATGATTGCTGTTGCAGCTACATAGACACATGTGACATTAAGGAAATCTATATCACTTAATCCTGGCTGGAGAAAACTGTTTGTATTTGTTTTCACTCATTTGTCTGTGTGCATACTGCATATTGCTTTTTGTGTATATTTATATGCCCACCTTGATTGTTTGTGTGTTGTCAATATCCGCCCTTTGTTCGACTGTGTGGACTCGGTTTATCAATAAACCTTTCCTATGTGTGTCTGTCTGTGCTTCAGGTCCAACAGATTGATCGTGTGGTGGAAGTAGTGGACGAGGCAATTAAAGGTATTTCAACACACATGCACATACACAAAGAAGCACTCATTGTTTGAGGGAATAAGCAGACATGCATTGATCAGCTAATGAATGAAAGTCCCTTCATTGCCGGAATTGGAAATGTTTCCTTCTCACAATTAATATTTGAAGACATTTGATTCTGAGCAATTACTATCAACAGAGCATAAACTAGAGCAGGGGTTCCCAACCCCCCCCC